CAAATTAGTAAGACCCTGTCTCCAAAAAAAAAAAAAAAAAAAAAAAAAAAAAATTTTAAGGGTCAAGGATGTAGCTCAGAGGTAGAACACTTGCCTAGCATGTGTTAGGCCCTGGGTTTGATCTCTAATATCAAAACAACAATAACAGGAAAAAAAAACAGTAAAAGAAGAAAGAAAAGAAAAAATCAGTACAAGTAAAGAAGCAATAAACATCAGAGTAATAATAAATCATATATAGGCTAAAAGAACAGTACAAAGGATCAATGAAACTAAGAGTTGGTTCTTTGAAAAGACAAACAAATTAACAAATTTTTAACTAAACTAATCGAGAGAGAGAGAGAGACCCAAATAAATAAAATTAGAGGTGAAAATAAAAAGACTTTATAACAAATACACTGAAATACAAATGACCATTGGGGAATATTTTTAAGGCCATATGCCAATAAATTGGAAGATCTAGAAGAAATGACAAATTTCTGGACTCATATTACATAACAAAATTGAATAAAGAGGATATAAAATCCTAAATAGATCAACAGTAAGCAAGTATACTGAAAGAGTAATAAGAGGTTTCCCAACAAAAAAACCTAGGACCAGATGGATTCACAGCTGAATTTTATCAGACTTAAAGTCTAAAACCAATGTTTCTAAAACTATTCCATAAAATAGAAAGTGAAGGAATCCTTTCAAACTCATTCATAAAGCAAGTACTATCCTGCTACCAAAAGCTGACAAGGACACAACAACAAAGAAAATGACAGACCAACATCCCTGATGAACAGACACAAAACTCTTGCAAATTGAATTTCAAAAGCACAATAAAAAGAGCATAGACCATGATCAAATTGATTTCATTCCAGGAATGCAAGAATGGTTCAACACAYGCAGATCAATAAATGTAAAACAGTACAAAGACAGAATGAAGGATAAAAGGCACACGATCATCTCAGATGCAGAAGAAGTCTTTGATAAAATTCAACACCCCTTCATGAAAAAAATTATCTGATTAAATTATATATAGAAGGGTCATATCTCTATATAATAAAGGCTATATAGTACAAGCCCCTAGCCAACGTCATACTGAATGGGGAAAAATGAAGCATTTCTTCTAAGATTAGCAACAAGACAAAGGTGTCCACTCTCTCCACTTTCATTCAATAAACTAGAAATTCTAGCCAGAGCAGTCAGGAAAGAAAAAGAAATAAAAGACATATAATTAAGGAGAAAGTAAAAGAAATCCTAAAAACTTTTAGAAATAATAGACTAATTCAATAAAGTACAGAATATAAAATCAACATAAAAATCAGTAGTTTTTTAAATACACTAGTAATGAACTAAGAAAGAAATCAGGAAACATATCTCATTCACAGAAACAGGAGGTGGAAGAAGAGGAGGAGTGTTATGGTTTGGATAGGTAGTGTTCCCCAAAAATCTCACATGAGACAATGAAAGAACGTTCAGATGTATGATGATTAGATTATAAGAGTTGGAACCTAATCAGTGGATTAATTAACTGATATGAATTAACTAGGTGGTAACCACAGGCAGGTAGGGTGTGGCTGGAGGAGGTAGCAGACTCGGAACATGCCTTTGGGAGTTTTACATTTTGTCCCTGTGAGCAAAACACCCCCCTCCTTCCTCATTGCCATGTTGTGAGCTACTTTCCTCCTCCATACCCTTCCACCATAATGTTCTGCCTCACCTCTGGGTCAAAGCAATGAAGTCAGCTACTAATAGACCAAGACCTCCAAAACCATGAACCCCAAATAAATTTGCCCTCCTCTGTTTTTCTCATCAGGTCTTTTGGTCACAGCCATGAAAAGACTGATTAAAACAGACATTGATACCAAGCATAGGATCTTGCTGTCTAACTTCACCATGTAGTTCAGAAGATTTGGGACCTTTTGGAATTTGAGGGAGGCGTTTTGACAAGTTTAGAGATGCAAGCTGGAAAAGCTTTAGAATGCTTTAAGTGGAGCTTAATGGGAGATTCTGGTGAGAGCTTAGAAGACCAGAATGGCCATAACATTGTGGACAGTAAAGACGAGGCTCATGAGGCTTTAGAAGAGGATGACTCTCCTAGAAATTGAACTAGAAACCATTCATATATGTTCTGTTAAAGAAGTCGTCTACATTTTACTCATATCCTGAGACTCTCTGAGTCTAAATTTAAAGATGATGGACTAATTAATCTGTCAGAGGAAATTTCAAGGCAGCACAGCATTGAAATATTGGCATGGATATTGCTGGCAGCTTTTAGCCAGGTTTACTGTGACAATCAGAAGAAGAAAGCAGAACTTTGAAAAACTTGGAGTTTGGCCAGGAAACACAAGTAAAACTGGGATAAGGAAGTTGTGGTTATTAAAGACATTACAGCCACTAAAAAGATGCTAAATACTTTACCCAGAGACAACAGAAAAGCTCACTGAGGGCATCTCAGGAATTGACAAGAACGTACTCATCTTAGACTCAAGGATGTAAAAGTAAAAATTTTTACTTTTACATGAGAAGGGACCATGGAGGCACCCTGCTTTTCACTGCTCAGCCATCCAAGCACTCAAAGGCTACTGCAGCTATAGTCTTAGAAAGCTTGGCTACGCTTGAGATGGTGGCAGACCTTGGCATCAACCACAAGGTGATGGTTCTGCAGAAATGCAGGATGCTGGAGTTAGGGACTCATGGAGGCTTCCACCAAGCTTTCAAACGAAAGCCTGGGAGGCCAGGCAAAGTGGAGCAGGGTTAGAGTCTCTTCAGGCTACCCGTGAGCAGATGATGAGTGAAGATGTGAGAAGGAAGCTAAAGTTCCAGCACCGTGGAACACCTGCTGAGGAAAACTGCAGGAATCAAGCATAAACAAGCCAACAGAGAGGCCACATGGACTGCAACTGGCAAAGCCCGAGGGGCAGGGCTACACAAGCCCTTTGAGAACATTACAATGTCGTGTGCTCCAGACGTTGAACATGGAGCTACAGGACTTGTTTGCCTGGCTAGATTTTGTTCTTGCTTTGGTCCCATCCCTGCTTTCTATGACCCTATTTCTCCCTTATAAAATGGAAATGCTTACTCTGTGCCATTATATATTAGATATACGTAACCTGCTTTTGATCTTGGCTCACAGTCAAGAGTTTGCCTTGAGTCTCAGATGAGATTTTGGACTTGGACTCTGGATAATGCTGGAACTGTTAAGATTATAACGACTCTTGGAAATGGATTAAATGTATTTTGCATTGTGAGATGGGCATGAGCTCTTAGGGGACAGGGACAGAAGGTTATGGTTTGGATATGTGGTATCCCCTAAATCTCATGTGTGAGACAATGCAAGAATGGCATTCAGAGGTGAAATGATTATGAGAGTTGTAACCTACCTGGTGGATGAATCCATTAACATGGATTAACTGAGTAACTACAAGTTGGAAGGGTGTGGTTGGAAGACGTAGGTCACTGGGGTGTCTCTGGGTTTTATATTTTGTCCCTATGAGCAAAGCTCTCTGTCTCTGCTTCCTGGTACTATGTTCTGATTTGCTTCCCTCCACCACTATTCAGTCTTGATGTTCTGCCTCACCTTGGGCCCAGAGCAACAGCATCACCATCTGTGGACTGAGACCTCTGAAACCATGAGCTGCAAATAAACTTTTCCTCCTCATATTATTCTTGCCAGGTCTTTTGGTCACAGCAGAGAAAAAAACTGACTAAAACAAGGAGGAACCCCCACCACCTAGGAATAAACCTAAGAATGTGAAAAAACTCTACTGACATTCCTCACAGAGCTAGGGGGGAAAAAAAATCCAAAATTCACATGGAAACACAAAAGACCCCAAATAGCCACGGTAATCCTGAGCAAAAAGCAATGCTGGAGGCATCACAATTTCTGATTTCAACAAATATCTATACTACCTAAAGGGATCTACAGATTTAATGTAATCCCCATCAAAATCAACAGCACTTTTTGCACAAACAGAAAAATTCATCCTAAAATTCATATGGAATCCCAAGGGACCCCAAATAACCAAATAAGATTGAAAAAGAAAAGAGTTGGAAGATCTACACTCCCTGATTCCAAAACTTGTTACAGTATTACAGTAATAAAAACAGTGTGGCACTGATACAAAGATAAACAGATCAATGGAACAGAATAGAGTCCACAAACAAACCTTCACATACACTGTCAAGAGATTATCCACAAAGGTGCCAAGACCACTCTATAGGAAAAAGACAGTCTCTCCTTTTTTTTTAATATATTTTTTAGTTGTCGATGGACCTTTATTTTATTTATTTATATGCAGTGCTGAGGAATAAACCTAGTGCSTTACACKTGCTAGGCAAGTTCTCTACCACTGAGCGACACCCCCAGCCCCCAAAGACAGTCTCTTCTACAGATGAGGCTTCGTGGGAAACACAAATGGCCAACAAGCAGATGCAAAGGTTCTGAGGTTGGAGATGGAGCTCAGGACCTCAGCGGTGGTGCTCTTGCCTAGCATGCGTGAAGCCCGGGATTCGGTCCCTAGTACCCCAGAAAACAGAAAAAGATCATCGCTGGAGCGGACAAATGGGAAATGAAGGCAAATCAGCGCAGAGAAAGGAGCCCATAATTCAGAACTGCTGGGCTGGGAGACAGACATGACACAGCAAAGCAGGTGGGTGGAATGGGGAGTGGGCGCCTCGGTCTTGCGAGTCTGGCAGGGCCGGATCCTCCCTTCTTAGAGGCCGCGGGGCAGCCCCACAGCGCCCTATGGGCGAGCCCGGGGACACCAAGCGCCTGCGAGGACAGACACAGGCGCTTCCTTCACACGCGGGAGACCACGAGCTCCGGCCGCGACCCTCCCTCAGGGAACACCAGAGGGCGTGCTCCTCACACCCCGGGCAGAGCCGTGAGTGACAATCCCAAAAAAGGCGGGAAGGCCCGTGATTCGCTGAAAGCTGGCGATCCAGCAGGCCTAAACCTCATTCGTCCCCTCCCTTCTCTGAAGGCAGCCCCCCCCCCMCCGTGTCCCCTCCGGCACCTTTCACCAACAGGAATGATGGCCCCACGGCGGTTCTCGGTGTGGCTCTGATTCACCGCCATCTTGCTCCAGGCCCCCTCCCGCCGCCCCTCAGATGGAAAGGGGCGGGGCCTGCGACAAGCTGTGGGGCGGAGCCTGAGAGGGAGGGCGGAGATTATGGCGTAAAGACCCAAAAGGGCAGGGCGAGATGGCAGGTCACGTGGTGGGGCGTGGTCACGTGGTGGGCGTGGGCGGCGTTGCCTTGGCCCGGGAGAAGGGGAGGGGCCAGGGGATTTGCTCCGCCCAGGGAGCGCGGGGGGCAAGAGGGATAGGTGAGTGATCTCTCCTGAGAGGTTGCAGAATGGCTGTTCCCCTGACCACGCTTAAGATAGACTTCCAGGAATGGAAATTAAAAGCAGCCATCCCCAGAACATCAGCCAGAATGACCCCCAGCCTTCCCTGGCTGTAGCCTTTCCCAGAAAAGGGTCTGGAACTATTCCTCTCCTTTCCTGAGAACCGCAGAACTGTCTTCCATCTGAAAAGTCTTGGAATCAGAGCTGAATGCCTTGTGAGATGGCATCCAGGAAAGGGCAGGTGAGATGAGTCAGGACGTGGAGGGGGAATTTTGAGCCTTGAGTTAAGAGAGCCTTTATGGGTCATCCTTCATATGGCCATGCCTCCTTCAAAGGTGTTTTTGAGGATCCGAGGGTAACACTGTACCATAATAGCTATGAGGACTAGAATGTTGCACATATTCTTTTTTCCTTTAAACTTCACAAATGGCACCAGAGCTCTTCAAATAAACATTTTTTTAAAAAATGAGGTTATTATATTTTTATACCCTTATTTTATTCATTTATATTTATGTGGTGCTAAGGATCAAATTCAGTGCTTCCTGCATGCTAGGCAAGTGCTCTACCACTGAACTACGGCCCCAGCCCCAAATAAACATCTTCTTGACCACTGTATTTTATTAAATTTAAAATGCTGGCTGGGGATGTGGCTCAAGCGGTAGCGCGCTCGCCTGGCATGCGTGCGGCCCGGGTTCGATCCTCATGCACCACATACCAACAAAGATGTTGTGTCCACCGAGAACTAAAAAATAAATATTAAAAATTCTCTCTCTCACTCTCTCTCCTCTCTCATTCTCTCTTTAAAAATAAATAAATAAATATAAATAAATAAATAAAATGCTATCAAGTATAAAACACATCAATTATTAACATGCCAGGGAGGAAAAACGTTGCCAGATAAACTGACATGCCATCAGTTGTAGGGCATATCCTGATTTCAGGGAAAAAAATATTTTTTAAAGTATGACTTAGTAGAACAAATAAAATACAATAAGGATGGTGAGGAGCGGTAGAATAAGCATTGAGATAGTCTTTACCCTACCATGGTAACTAACTGCAACCTTGGGCTTTAGTCCAGGATTATGTTCTCTGTACTTGTTTCCATATCTGTATGATGGCATTGAGCTTTTATATTTCCTTTAGCTGTGGTATTTGATTTCCACTAAACTTCTCTGTTACTCAAATCTCAGTGTTGTGTTGCCACTCTGCTTCCCACCTTCATCATTTTACTTGAATGATTCCAAGAGTCTGACTTGTCTTCCTCAGACTCTGACCCCTCCAAACCACTTCCCACCATTTATCTATACCTCGAAACTTTTTAGTTGAGGTCCCAGACATAATTGCATACAACTGTTACTTTTAAACTCAAAGAATAAGACACAGGTGAGAGTTGTGTTTGCTTGCTATAAGAGTGGGCACCTCAAAGACAGGAAGGATTTGATTTAAGTACAAGAAAGATATAAACTAGTGCTTAATTTTAAATTCTTAACTCAAAACATTCCCTGGATAATAGGGAGGCTTTTAGACAACGTGAGTCCACTCCCTTCATAGACTTGGTGCCTGTGTCTTTAGGGAATAGAAGCAGGGAAACTAGGAAGTAAACTGAATGAAAATAAATGTTTTCACTGAGGAAGGCAAACCATAGCATCCCTCAAGGTCAAGTGTGAGAGCTTTATCATTTGGGATAAAAAAATCCCAGGAAATAATGACTTGAGGTCTGCAGATAAACTGACTTCACAAGATATTTCCATCTCTAATATTTGTGACTACTGGGGCTGGGGTTGTGGCTCAGTTGTAGAGTGCCCGCCTAGCATGCACAAGGCACTGGGTTTGATCCTCAGCACCACATAAATGTAAAATAAAGATATTGTATCCACCTAAAACTTAACAATAAGTGTTTTTTTTTAAATTGTGATTACTTCTTACCAAGACTATTCCTGCTCACTCTCCACATGAGTTGATCTAATAGATGATTTGATCAAGGAGCACAAATAAGGTACAGGCCAAGCGATTATTGTTCAAACATCAATGTTTAGTTGTACAACACATAAAGTCTAGCAACATTTACACATCCAGTTTGAGTGTTGGCTCGTTTTCAATTGGGAAATTTAACCAGAATGTCACCAAAAGGTTGACTGGGACTGGTATCATTTAAGAAATGGGTCGTTCTTGCATCCCCTAGGCTTGGGCCTCTTGTTCCATCAGGACTTGGTTAGAGATGAATGGCCCACAAGTCACCAGCCTTTGAGCAATTTGTGTCATGGTGGAAACTGGGAGTTGGAGGGGGAAGTAGGGTCAGGGAGGATTCTATAAAGACACTGAGTGGGGCAGTGGCAGCCGACATTCGCAAACATTCATGCATCTGATGGGGTCTTTTCCCTCCATTGGGTATTTTCCAGAGCCTACAGTGACCACCTATGGCAGCTAATTCATTACTCACATTAATGAGGTGGGGATGGGGCAGGGGTGGGAGTAGGGGTAAGTGGGAAAAGATCCCTCTTATTGCTAAGTGTACAGAAGGGTGCTTTTTTTTCTTTTCCTAGAGTGTATAGCTTGTAGGTTTCTGAAATTTTGTGTATATTTAGCTGTTTTTGTTTTTTAGTTTGGAGATAAGGAAGTCAACTCCAGCAAATTCTCTTCAGGAAGACCACTCTTCCTAAGTGGCTGCATTATGGGGTGGGGAAGGTGTGTACCCACACTCTGGGCCAGCCACTAGTGGTGATTTTTTTAAAAAATGATGCCAGCCCTTGTTCCCCTGGTCACCTGCAGTGACCCACCCTTCTAAATACCTTTAAGCAATGAAGGAGACACCCTTGTCCCACAGGGGCTCACACAGCTGGTCTCAGTGAATCTGACAAGCAGAAAAATTGCTTTCTTGGCCCCTTAGGGAAGCCAAGAGGAGCTCATGCAGATGAATGGAGAAGGAGCCATGCCGTTTCCCTTGGAGATGGTTACAAACAGCTGGTATGGGTTGCGAGGGCAGAAGCGGCTCTTGTGAGTTTTTTTCTCCCTAGAGATGGGCTGGGACCAGCTGAATAGACGATGGAGCAGGGCTGGCAAGGGCTCCATTCCACTGGGAGGAGAGGAGTGGTCTGGCTAAATGGAGGAAGCAACTGTCCTAAAGGGGCACCTGGCCCCTCCCACCTGCTGAGGACCAAGAGGGGCTGTGGCGGTGGGCTAGACAAGCACAGCACTGAAAAGGGTAGCCCTGCAGCAATAACAGCTGAAGGAATGGAGGGAGAAGCAGCGCTTGAAATGGCCTTCATTCAGCAGTGGGGCAGGGGGTGGCTGGCACAGGTGGAAGGACAGTGCCCAGGAGACCTTCTCCCTGCAGGAGGGTTGAGAACGGTTGAGGGTGCGTAGACCAGCAGCTGGCAGCAGACACATAAAACAGCTTCTCCAGGGAGGCTAAGACCATGGTTTGGCGGTGCCAAGCACCTCTCTCCTCTGCAGCCTCACCAATGCCCCCGCCCTCACCCCACAATCTTCCCCTACTGGTACCAGGTACCCAGTCCCATATCTCCATACAGAACCACTCTCTGTTGGAGCCTGGGAGGCCTCTTTGGTTGACGTGAAGTAAACTCTGGGTATAACACTGCTGCTGTTCTGTCCTGACAGGCGCCTACCCTGGAGTAACTTTATGGGCAAAGGAAGACAAAGGGCGGATTGATAAATCAGCCTCCAGGAAAGACTGAGGCTGCAGGGTTGGGATACCAGTGACCCGGTCACCCCTCCCCTTTTCCTGGTCCAGCAAGCTTGGATCTTAAGTCTCTATTTTATTTGCCTAGCACCTGAGTGATAAGGACTGGGATTGTAAATGCTGGCATTCAGAGAGAACCAGTTGAAAACCTACGTTAGACCAGGCAGTGGGACAGGAGGTTGAATAAAGTTGTAAACAGTATTACTTGGTGGTTTTTTTTTTCCTTTCCTAAGGCTAAATGGCTCCCTCAGCCACAAATTTCAGCAATCTTACAGATTAAAGGAAAAAGAATAACTTATTTGTATAATAAACAGGGGAAGTATCTGTGTTAATAAATACAGGGTTATGGGAAGGTAAGAAAAGGCTGAATGTCTGGTTAGGGGTGTCACCGGGAATGTCTACAGGAGTCAGGAGGAGGGGTGTGGAGTGAGGAAGAGAAAGACAAACACAATTGCAATTCACCTTAGAACAAGAGTAAAGAACAGAGAAGAGGGAGTCAAGTAAGTCTGAGACAAAGGGAGCCACAGAGAAGCCAGCTCACCAGGGACAGAAGTCTGATGGGAAAAAGGGAAGTGTGGTCTAAAATCCATCCTGGAAGCCAGACCACTGAGAAGTGGTGTACATTGTACATTTTTCTGATACTTCATTGGAATTGATTGTTCTAGAATTTAATGCCCTCACCCCTTCCCCCCCAAAAAAAGCTGCTTCATTTTATCAGCACACGTGTTCCTCTAATTGTCAACTGCAGAAACCCCACCCCCCTCGACTTCTTTCTTTGCGTTTGCTGCCCCACAAGTTCACAGCCAATTTCGTGTCTCGACTGGGGAAACTCTCCCATTTCTCTCTATGGCTCTGATTCCTCCTGTAATCTCAGATTGTACTTCGAAGTGCTTTTACTTGTGATCTTACTTTAGGGTGACCTAAAGTTATTTTTTGGTAGTAGACTGGGCATAAATTCTAAATATAGAAATGAAGCTAAGTGGACTCCTCTAAAAGGAAGTGAAAGATGTCAGGGACAGGCCGGAGAGGGAGGGAGAAGGGATACATGAAGAAGGGAGGGAAAGTGGGAAAGAGAGAAAGCAGAGGCAGGAGACCAGCAGAGGCAGGAGACCAGCCTGGGAACAAAAGCCAGGTGAGCAAGAAAAAGCAGCAGTCTTTGATGGTGACATGGTAGCTTTTGAACAGTGACCTTGACACAGACCAAAGGGTGTACTCCACTTTCAGGCACCAGTTCTTTCTGCAGGAACCCAGCTCAGACACAGTTCTGTGCTTCCCTGTGAACGTCCTTTTCCTTTTCCCAGGACGTCCCCACCTTACCCAGGCCACCCCAACTCACAGGGAAGATGCCCTGAACTCCCTCCCCCCACCACCCAGTCTAGCTCAGCCACCTGTCCTTGGAGAATTTCTGCAGCCCCAGTTTGTGGACAAGGACAGAAGTAAAAAGGAATTTGCTGTCCTGTGGGTCACCTGCTCCCAGCATCTGTGTCTAACCCTCCCAGACCTCTGGAGTGAGGTGCACAGCTTTGTTCTGGGACAGGAGGAAAGAAGACATTCATGAGGAGAACCACACTTACAAGGGACTTTTAGGGAAGGCAATAAAAATACCTCGTCCCTGTGCGCGCACACACACACACACACACACACATACACTCATTTTCTCTTTCATACACACACATGCACACGCACACGCATACACATACACAATGTAGACAAGATGTTCCACAAATACCAGACAGGCCTGTGGGACAGAGCTGAAGGAAGAAGTGGTTGGAGGTGGTACTTGGGATGTGTGTGTATGGAGAAGTGGATATGTGTGACGACACAGAAAAGGGGTCATCAGGGGTTACTCTCGTGGCTTTCCTCTGTGTCCACGCTCACCGGAGGGAGGCCTCCATTGTCATTGAGCCGCTTGGCCCTGTAAGTCTCATAGTGGATGTTGTGTGTCACTTCCTTGAGGTCCTGGAGATGGGTCCTGAAGGACACAGGGTGAGAAAAAAGGGGGATGAAATTAGGGGCAGCAAGAGGAGGAGATGACCCACCTCTGAGGTTAACACTTCACGTCAACAAACTGGACCCAGTGATTGGGACCCACTCCAGAAAGCCCCTTCTGAAGCCCCTTCTGATTTGAGGCAGGAGCTGGAACTGGAACAGAAAGCTCTACCAGACACCTGGAGTCCCAGGAAGCAGTAAATCTGAACAGATGGCCCTGGACACCAAATAGTTAAGCTGACATCTGGGTCAAAACCTGAGACAAAGTCTTACCTGATGACAAAGTCTCGAAGCAGGGCAAACTCACAGTGGTTGAGGTTTTCCACTATGAACAAAACAAAAGAAAACAGGTGTCATTTCATGAATCAACATCCAGGAGGTAAACCTCTGTTTGGGTCACGGAGGCATTTAAAGAGAGTGTGGGGGCTGGGGTTGTGGCTCAGTGGCAGAGCGCTTGCCTAGCATGTGTGAGGCACTGGGTTTGCTTCTCAGCACCACATCTAAACAAATAAAATAAAGGTCCATTGACAACTAAAAAATATTAAAAAAAAAAAAAGAGCATGGGACAGGTTGTTTTATATTTTGCTTACTTCAGAGTCCTGGATTTTTTTGTGTATGTGTGGTGCTGGAGATCAAACCAGGGCCACTCTACCACTGAGCCATATCCCCAACCCAGTTCCCTGGATTTTTTTCATTGAACAGGTATTTATTAAGCATCAGGATACAACAGACAGGATATTGTTCCAGACTCTGTAGAGTAACAGGGACTGTTATTCTTCTCATTTTACAGAAGAGAAAACTAACACACAGGGAGTCTAAGAAACTTGTCAAGGCCAAAGATACAATTCCTATCCTTGGAACTTATAATATGACTGAAAGAAAGTAATACACATAGAACAATCAAGCCATCTTTAAAAGTTGATGCTCGGTCAGGCATGGTAGCAAGCACCTATAATCCCAGCTACTCCTGAGGCTGAGGCAGGAGGATCATGAGTTTGAGGCCAGCCAGAGAAAATGAGCAAGATCCTGTCTTAAAATAAAACTAAAAGGACTGGATAATGTAGTCTCCCCCCAACAAAATTTTTAAAAATAAAATATTTAGAAAATAAAAATCCCAAAAGTGGGTTACAGGAAAACAAGGGATAATTCAAAACAAAGGGGTGAGCTTTGGTTTGGGATCACATTATCTGAAATCCAAGAATCACCACTAAGTTCTGTGATGGCACGTGCAAGGCTATGGGTTCACTCCCCAGAACCACACACACAAAAAGTTATGTGACGCCAGGCAAGGCTCTTAACTTGTCTGAGACTGCAGTGCCTCAGAAGCTTTCGTTCTGAGGCAGGAACCCCTGCCCTGCTCCCCTTGTAGGGTTATCACATCAACTGAGACCCCTGAAACAGTTCTTGGCAAACTTTCCGAATCTTCATGACCTGCCTGAGGTCACATTAATTCACAACTAAATGGAAAAGGCAACATCCGGGCCGCCCTTCAGTACTCTGCCAGATCACATCCTCCTTCACATGAAACCTTCCTCTGTTTTTTCTAGTCCTTGCTAATCTGTGTTCTGAACCCCTCTGACACACCAAGTTGGTGCCCCCTGGTCAGGTACTAAATGGATCTCATTGTTTCCTACCTGTGAGCATCATCTTCTCAATTAGACTGTACACACCTTATGGACAGGATCTGATGGGCATTTGTTGTATATCACATTATCTCAGGACACAGCCCTGACCCCAGATGGTTGGAACAAATGACTGGATAATTGATCAGCAGCCGGTTCTTCCAGAAAATGCATTTAATTACCTTCAATGATCCCCCAGGGAGTTTTTCTGCCGAGGACCCTCTTGCCATTCACTTGGTACTCCTTGTCACTTCCCACCACAGCGAAGGGCATGCTCTCCTGCTGGACAGGGGCAAAAACACAAACCAGACACATGTTCACAGTCATCCCCCTATGACCAGAATGTCCAAGTCAGGGCAGCAAATGGCCTTGGCTGCCTACCCTTGAGCCACACATTTATGATGCTCATTTGGTGATACTATTGATGGCAGGAGAAAGGCTGTCTCCCTTGAAAAGAGCACTGAGCTAGGAGGCAGAAGTCCTGGGTGAAACCCTGAATACACTGCATGGCTGGCTAACCTCAGGAAGTCACTTCCCGGAGTGCACTTTGTACATTTCATAGTGCTTTAAAACACATTTTGCTTGATTTGGAACAGCCTTGCCATCTAGCAACACCCACTCAAGAGTCAGCCAGACTCACTGATGCCTCATGCTGTCTCCTATGAAACCTACTGGCAGATACCCGCGTCTGCTGAACTCTCAGGCACCAGACCCCTTCTGCTCCACCGGGTGAGTTGTACGTCTGCCAAGTGCCAGTTGTTTGTTCCCAAATGTATTTGCCTGAGGTACTTATTATTGTCATCGGATGAATTAACTAGTCAAGCATTGCTTAATGACAGGGTAAATTCTGAGAAATGTGTCCCTGGCTGATTGTGTTGTATAGTCGTCATAGCATGTACTTACACAAACTAAGAGACTATATCACTAGGTGATATCAATGTATGGGATGATTGTCACTTGCATCATAGTTATGCAGCACATGACTATAGGTGTAGGCTGAGGTCATATGCACGTAGAGAGCTGTTTCTATAAAAATTAAGTTAAATGTTTCAGAAAGACTTTACAAATGTAAACTGCTTTGACATTAAGCGTAGACTTTGGGGGCTGGAGGTACCTCAGCTGAGGTTCAGTCCTCAGCACCTCAAGAAAAAATTCAAAAGAGGGGACTTATTCTCAGAGAAGAGGCCTTGGATCTACATGAAAAGTGTTTGATAAATATGATGTCTGTTTTGTTAATTTAATTTCATAACATATTTATTTTTAAACAGTCAAGATTTATATACCTCTTTTCTAAAAAGTGATTCCCTCATTCAAGTTGATTCTTTTTTTTCAGTTAACTACCTGTTCCAACTCTATCAGGTAAGGGGCTTCTGCTAGATTACCCACCCTTGAAGGAGGAGGGAACTCAAAACCAAAGCAGTGAGGGTTGTATCTCAGGTTTCAGTTGCGAATCTGAAAAAACCCAGACTAGATTCCAGGATTCTGATATAGAATTATGGAATTGTAGAAATTTGGAATTGAGAAGGACCCTGGGAATCACACAGGCTGACAGTTTCTAAGCCAGTTCCTGAAACATGCCGTGCCCAGGGGTCTCCTTCAGGTCTTCAGCAGGTATCCTAGAAGCAGCTGGGAAGGCAGGGCTCAGTGTCAACGCAGCTTTGCTCTTAGGTTTTGTCTATGGGAGTTCTGAGATTTAATTTTCTAAGAGTTCTTTAGCTCAGTGGTAGAGCACTCATCTAGCAAGTGTGAGGCACTAGGTTCGGTTCTCAGTACCACATAAAAATAAATAAAGACATACATAAAATAAGGGTATCGTGTTCAGCTACAACTAAAAATATTTTTTTAAAAAAAGGAATTCTTCTAAGGAGTGAACAAGCCAATAAGCCACTCACCTAGTCTAGCCTCTGCATTTTACAGAGGAGGAAACCCAGGCAGCATCTGAGTAGAACCCAGATTCCCCGTGTTTCTGTTGTTTGGTTCCCCGCCTCACCACACACGGACTTTGCCAGACTTGTGGGGAAGAGGGTGCTTTTGTGTGGTCTGGGATTGAAAGGGAACCCCTCTGTGGGTTCAGAGTCCTGGCCAGGACCATTGTCCTCCTTGTCCCATGTCACTTCTGGTCAGACAAGGTGGCACAAGGATATAGAGAAAAGACAGAGGAGGAAAGGTGGAAAGACAGAGGAAGCACATGACATACGTCCCAGGGGCATGAGGAGCATCCGTGGGATGAACAGAGCCCGGACACCCACCCTGATTTTGTCGTTCTCCGTCTTATCCTCCAGATCCTCATCGAATTCCTTCTGTGGGTAGAATTCAATCCCATTTACTTCAAGCTCCTTTCGAACCTGGTGGGGAGAAGTAAGGTGGTCAAGTGTTGTCATAGAAAAAAGGGCATGTGAGTGTGAGGTAGGGGTGTGTGTGTGTGTGTGTGTGTGTGTGTCCATAAGCACATACACAGTGTGTGTGGTGGAGTCAGAGATGCACCCAGCCTTTGATGTCAGTCCCCTCTGCACTCTGAGGCTGTGGACAGCAGGAAGATCCTACATAACGGTAATTACCACCGCCCAGCCCAAGAGGAGGAAGTCTCAGGCACACCAGTGTGCTCACCCCAGGGTCTAGGATTTGAACAAGTAGCACACCTAAGTCCAAATGCCACTGGGTGGTGCTCATGGCCTGCAGGCTGTATTCCTGCCCATAAGGAAGAGTGGTGAGGCTCCCGCCCCAAGCTCCTGTTTGCTTTCTTTCAAGGCCTGTTTAAGTCCCCTCCTCCAGGAGGTCATCCGGGACCTCTTCAGCATTCCGTTTGATTATAATTTTCTTAAAAGCAGCAACTATCTTTGCACCTGGYTTGTACACACCCTCCTCTGCCCTCCAGGGCATCCAGCCAGTTGTAGGCGGGGTGTATAGATGATGTCACCGAGGACTAGCCGGCAGTTGATTGACTGATTAGTCTAGTCCTTCAAGTAACCTGACTTCTCAGAAGTAGGATACTTGTGTATCCTGTGGTCTCCTCAGCCGGCTGTGGAGTGGAAGGCAGCAGGAGCAGCGCTGGCTTCTTGCCTTTGGTCCCCAGAACCGCCAGCCCCAGCCTTCTCAATGGTTCACTAGGTGCTGGGGGAGGAGCTGGGGAGGACTGGGGGGGGGGATGATGAGAGCGAGGAGATGGCTTAGATCTGGAGGAGAGCAAGGAAGTGTTGGAGGCAGGAAAAGGAGAAAGGGGTCCTTCTTACCCTCTGCTTGAATTCAGACTTCTCCTCCAGGGTCATAGTGTCAGCCTTAGCAATGACAGGGATGATGTTCACCACCTTGCTGAGGTGTTTCATGAACTCGAGGTCGAGGGGTCGCAAGCTGTGGCCCAGAGAAGGCGACAGTGTCAGAACCACCTGCCCTAGCCACTGCTACCTCTCGGGGCGCCTCCTTGGGAGAGGACTGGGCTAGGAATCTGGCTGAGGCCAGAGWCTGCGGCCTCTCCTCTGACACACCATCACTGACCATCTGCAGACTGGCCCCAATTCTTCCACCTGCACGCAGTCCCTCCCCCACCTTTCTTCCTTATATCCAGGCAAATTCTGCCTCTCCTTAGGTTCTCCCCACACCACTCCTTCCTGACACCTTTTCTGACCTAAGGATTTCTTTCTCCTGGAAACATCTGTGGATGGTTATCCCCATCCATGTGTCCTTGTGTCACGGTTACTTGTGTGTCTTATTCTGCCTGTGGGACTGCTCTTATGTATGGGCCTCCTCCCAGGCCCCAAAGTTAGTTCTGCAGGGCCCAGTTGGGGGCTTTGTCCCTCCCCTAGTCTGAAGGCCTGCTCCTCCCCAACCTGAGGCTCTGGGGCCCCAACCTGGCTTCAGTTTGCAACTGGGGTACTCATTAAGTCAGGTTTTCAGATGGTTCCCTCTGACCGTGGATCAAGGTCTAGGGAGGGATAAAGCCAAACGGCCCAAGGTTCTTGTTTCATATCCCTCCTTCCCCATTGCTGAACTCTACTGAGTATGTTTTCTTCAAACATTGGGGCCTGTCTTGCTGGTGCTGTTCTCAAGAACTGAACTCTGCCCCAAGACTCGTAATGAGTTATGAGACACACGCTGGTCACATAGGAAGGCTGCTTGAGATACCAATAGGATCTCTGACCTCAGCCTATTCCCACACCTGACCATCTGGGGCCCACCTGCAACTCACAATCTGAGCTCCCAGCACGTTCTGCGTGCRCAGCCTTCTCTAGACTCCTAGCTCCCAGCTGGCCACCTTTCAGATGCCTATGGCTAGGTCCCACATCCTACCAAAATATCAGCCCCAATCTAATAGCCCTGCCTCTCCCTATTTCACCCCTTTTGTTTCCCCTAGACCCCAAGCTTTATCCAAAGCAAGAATTTRTTGGACTAATGGGATGCCTTCTGCTCACATATAGCAACTTCTCCGGTATAGTCATGCTGTGCTGGGATACCAGTGGGCAGTATGGAGGCAGATGATGGTTAGTTTTAACCTTCCTGGTAAGAAAGTGAGACTTTCTTGTGGAAATTCTGGGAAATCCCAAGGTCATGACTGTATTCAAGTCCCTCTGGGCCCCTGAGATGGCCCTTAGCTGGTATCCAGGTATTGATTACCCAATTCAGGACAGGCTGATACAAACCAGAATCAGGCCTAGCAGTAGAGGTGGGGGTGGTACATACGAGTGTCCTGTGGGGGAGATGAAGTAGAGGCAGCAGTGGACGCGGGTGTCAGGGATGCGCTTCTTCCTGGCGATGTTCACCTCCTCCTTCAGGAACTTCTCATACTGTTCATTGATGTACTTCTCAATGGGCTCCCAGCTGAGAGGAGAGAAAACGTTGATGGAATGTAGCCGGGCGTGGTGGTGGCACACACCTGTAATCCTACTGGCTTGGGAGGCTAAGGCAGGAGGATCAAAAGTTCAAAGCCAGCCTCAGCAAGAGCAAGGCCCTAAGCAACTCAGTGAGACCCTGTATCTAAATAAAATACAAAATAGGGCTGGGGATGTGGCTCAGTGGTCAAGTGCCCCTGAGTTCAATCCCCAGCACCCCCMAAAAAATAATAAATAAATGGAATGTAGCAGAAGGACAGGATCCAGGAACTCATCTTGACACAGTCAGATCACAACCCCTCACACTTACCCTGTGTCCTACCTCCCCTGGTGGGTCTAGGCTATCTGCCTATTCTCCATCTGCCCACCCCCCCCAAATGGCTTTCCAAGGATGGTTGGCAAGGGTAGAGCTCCCCAGGGAACCTAGCCTCTGCCTGGACTCTAGGAACCTGCAGAACATGAAGGATGCAGATGGTTCTCAGCATGAATGAATCTGCACCATGTTCATGTCTTCCCAGCAGAGGACTTAGGGCAGAAGTCTCAGAGGCAGACATATACCAGTTTTCGTTGTTGATTTGGTCTCCAAAGCCCGGGGTGTCGATGACGGTCAGCTTCATTTTGACACCACCTTCCTCAATTACTGAGGGATGAATAGAAAAGGCATCAGAGAAGTCAGTCCTATAGCTGACCCCCAGTGACCCGCAGCCTATGAGCCAGGCCTCTTTTCTTCAGGACGAATTATTGGAAAAGGTAAGTTTAGGGTCTCCCCCTCTCCGTGTCTTCCTACCTCTATGTCTAAATCCCACCTGTGCTTCACCACCCAGCTCAAGGCCTACTTCTTTCCATCCAGGGCCCTCTCTCCCTTCCCTGGACTAGCAGTCTAAGGGGTTGGCTTTGTGGAATTTAGTGCTTAATTCTGCTCCATCATGAGGTTTTATTCCCCAATATGCCTCATTCCTTCCCCAATCATCCACCTCTGAACAAAGCCCAGAGGGGTCCCCGCCTGGTCCTCACCATGCCCAATAGCTTTGATCTCCACCGTCTTGGGGATCTTCTCCTCCCGATTCCAGCTGGAAGCCTTGCGGCTCACCTGGGATTTGAACAGCGTGTTGACCAGCGTTGACTTGCCCAGTCCACTCTGGCCTGCAGCAAGGCAGGAGGAGGAAGACAAGGTAGGGAGAGGCCACGTCCACCTCCTGAGCTCTCAGTTCTCCCAGCTTCCAGAATTCCAAGGCTCTGATCCAGGCCACTCACCAAAGGATGGAGGGGCTGAGTGGGGACAGCAGGCAGATGGGAATGCTACCCTGCTTACTGGAGAGGGCCTTGGGATTCGCCACTGGATCGTATAGTCTCTCTTTCCTGGGGCCCCAGAACCACTGGGAGAGGGGACAGCATCTGCATCTGTCTAATGTGGTGGGTTTTTGTTTTGGTTTGCTCTTTTACTTGACTCAAGCTTTCTGTCTTTAATATACTAAAAGTAAAAGCAGAATTACTTTGCATTTCTGATGCCGCCTCATAGTGCCTAAGCACTTTCACATCTGTTAGCAAAATCTGTCTTTTTATCAGGCCTGTAAGTAGCACAGCAGAGCTATCTTTATCCCCAGTAGAGAAGGCCCTAGAGAGATTAATCCTCTTCTGACACACAATGTGTGTAGGGCAACTTAACTAGTAAATGCAAGACCAGGGACTTGAACCCAAGAACCTYGTGGCTCCATATCCACTCTTTATTCTAGCGTAGCGGTTTTTAAATTGTGCTAAGGCCCTGGGTTCAATCCCAGTACAACAACAAAAAAGTCCTGTTGGAGATCCATGCCAGAGTGGGCACCGCAAGAGAAGGGGAAGCAGGCAGGCAGAGTCTCAGCGTCCACCTGCAGCTCCTTCACTTTGGCTCTCTCTGCACCTGTATTCCCCATGCAGTCTTGCCGCACGCAGTGTGTCCTCCAAGAAGTTCTACCACTAAAACACTTTTGGGAACCGTGGGTCTGAGCAGTGCTTCCCAACTCTAACATGCACGAGAATCACACCAGGGAGGCTTGCAACTGAAGAGCAGCATCAGCGTTCCCTGCACGCCCCGCCACAGGTCCAGGACTCAGAACCTGCAGCTTAGCTGGGCTTCCAGAAGAATCATATGGACACTAAAGTCCAGGAAGTTCTGGTCTGGAGTAAAAAGACCAGAATGGGAGGCAAGAGCCCCTAGGTTTAGACCCACCTGTGCTGTCTTCCCTGAGTACCTTGGAGTCAAGTTTGCCCCCACAACACTGAGGGGTCTTACTTTCTTTACTGATCAGATGAGGAGGGAGGGAACTGCATGAGACCAATAATGGCAAGTAAGGGGCCTTCTCTCATTCTAGCTGGTCAGGGGGCAGAAGCCCCTTAGACCATTATGTTAAAATGGCTACAGCTGGGCTCAGTACTGGACATGACCCTGAGTGACCAGCAAGGTCTGCCATGGGGGAGGAGTGTCCCACATGTCTTATACAGGGTGGACATCTCAAACTGAAAATCGGAAGTCCAAATGCTGCAAGATTTACAACTTTTGAGTGCTGACATGATGCTCAAAAAGTTTYAGATTTTTGGAGCATTTCAGATTTTAGATTTTCAAATTAGAGACATTAAACTGGTAAAATGAATGAAATTAATCTAAGAATTTCTTTAAAGTCCCAAATTAGAACATAACTGGTTCTAAATATTGCAGATAAGGGATACACAACCTGCATTTGCTATTCTTGGTCTGGGATATTTTCTAGGATCATTTGTTCATTCAATATTGGAGTCTTTTCTTTTTCTTCCTTTTCTTTTTAGGTAGTACTACACAGATGAATTTTTTTGTTGTTGTTATTTTTTCTCTTTTTGTTGTTTGGGGGTTTGTTTGCTTATCTGTTTGTTTCCTGTGCTGGCGACTGAACTCAGGGGTGCTCTGCCACCAAGCTGCACCTCTAACCTATTTTATCATATTGAGACAGGTTCTCACTAAGTTGTCCAAACTGGCCTCAAACTTGCAATTCTTCTGCCTCAGCCTCCAGAGTTGCTGAGATTGCAGGCATGGACCACCACAGCACCTAGTACTCATTAAGTATTCTTAAGTGTTGTCCTAGAATTGGAGGCCCAGCAGGGGAGGGCAGATGGCTTTCACAATCCCACTTAGACCTGCCTCAGACATCATCCCAATTCTCAAAGAGCCCTTTGTTGCAAGGGACCAAAACATAAGCACACAGTTACAATATGATAAACCCTATGAAAGAGAGAACCACCAGGTGTTATAACAGCATTATAAAGGGAATTACAATCCAGTCGTTCTGGGATTAAGGAAGACAGATTTCTAGGAGTAAGCAACAATGAAGCTGAAACCTGAAAGACGACTTTGAATGAGCTGTGAGAAGCAGGAAGGGAGTTCTAGACTGAGCGAATGGCACATGCAAAGGCTCAGAGGTAGAAATGAGTGTGGCAAGTGGAGGAGAATTGTTCCGCAAGAGCGAAGAGTAAGAATCCTGGGTGGGATATGGTAAGAGATGAGTTAGAGCAGGAGTAGAATAGCGGTCTTGAGTTAGAGCAGGCCAGAATAGGAGTCTTGAGGTTAAAAGAGGGATAGTAATGGGATGTAAGTAGCATGGGTAACTTGATGATGAATTGGAAGGAGAGACAGAACCAGATGGACTGGTGTCACTCCAAGTGTGGCCTATGGTCTGGCTTCCTGGGTCCACAAATCATTTGTTACTGGTTCTTGAGATAACAGTTTTGTGCTACAAGGTAAATCAACTCTGTCCCTGTTTGATGTTTCACCCTGGGCCAAGTTCTTAAGCACAAACCTGAAGGTCAGCACTTTGAGCAGTACAAGTGGCCATGGCAATCCAGGTGGCAGACCTAGCTTGACTAGTGGGGGATGAAGAGAAGAGGGCAGACTTGGGATATATACTTAATACAGACATATATAAATATATAGAGAGAGATATATATACTCACACATATTTTAGTTATAGATGGACACAGTGCCTTTATTTTATTTATTTCTTTTTATGTGGTGCTGAGGATCAAACCCAGTGCCTCACACATGCTACTAGACAAGCACTCTACCACTGAGCCACAACCCAAGCCCAGACTTGGAAATACTGACCCTGGAAAAGGGACAGGACTCTATGATTGATTATACTGGGGATAAGGAAGGAAAAGGGAAGAAAGAAGAGGCCCAGCTCCCTGTTTCAGCACTGAGTGACTCAATGATGCTATTTAGTGACCAAATCTCTTCAAATTCCCTTTCAATTTTAAAGCTCTATGAAAGACTCTAAATAAGACCACCTTTCACCAATCCTCCCACCAGCTCTTGGAGGCGGGGAAGGGCACTAATGATCCTCCCCTGCCACAAACCTGAAAGCAGCTTGGAGTGGTAGAGAGGCTACTTGTCTGAACCCACTTGAAGGCAGAACAGGCTGGCCACCCACCCAAGCTGCCATCCCTAAGGGAAGAAGGTGCCCAGGCCTTTGTGGTCAGCATGGCAATATTCTCACTCCTAGAGAGAGTTCTTCCTAGAGAAGCCAGGGCTGAGGCCATTCTGGGGAGAGAAATAGGATCCTTAGTGCTACCTGCTACCAGGCCCTCCAATGACCCCATGGCTTCATACCAACAACCATGATGTTGAAGTCAAAACCAGTCTTCATGGTCTTCTTGCGCATCTGCTCAATGATGGTGTCTATGCCAATGTAGCCCAGCAGGTTGGAGTTGATGCTGACGGGCTTCATGGGCACTGCCGGCTTAGGCCTGGGTTCAGGCACCAGCTCTGACATGGCTGTGTCCGTCCTGGTCTCTGGGAGCCCTGCAAAGCCAAGGTGGGAGGGGCAGGTGGGGTGGGAGGGGCAGGTGGGGTGGGTGGGTGGGAGGAAAGCAGAGGTCACATGGAAGCCACAGTATTTTTCTCTTCATATGGAATAGTATGGAGTTGGGACTAGAAGGGACCTTAATATTACCTAGCCTGAACCCCTCAATGCATACATGAAGAGTCAGGCCCAGAGAGGGAAGGACTTGCTTAAGAACCATGTGGAAAACCTGCTCCAGCACTGGGTTCTCTAGCTGCTGATCACTTTCAAACACACTCCACAGCACCAAAGCACATTGTGCATCTAAACCCAGGGCTTCTCCACCTTGGTACTCCTGACATTTGGATAATGCTTTATTGTGGGGGCTGGCCTGCGCCCTGTAGGATGCCTAGTGGTATCCCTGGTCTCTGCTCAATGCCAGTAGCCCACCATTTGTGACAATCAAAAATGTCTCTAAACAGTACCAAATGTCCCGTGGGGGGCATTGCCCCAGTAGAGAACCACTGACCTAAGAAGTGCCTGAGGTTTTTCAGACCCAAGTCCTGTCTTGACAAATAAAGGACAAAGACTCGAGAATCCTGYAGCTCACATCTATTGACTGTCACTGACCTCAACTATTTCATGCTTCAGAAGCAAATAGGGCCACCTTTCTCTGCAGAGAGCATCTCTTTCACCTCCCAGCCTCAATGTCCCCTCTGTTCCATAAGCTGCAAAGTAGAGGTGTCTGTAGGAGCCCCAGACACCCTCCTAGCTATAGTTTAGAGTCAGTGAGTCCGGTGAGCAGGGGACGATACTCTGATGAAATCCGTCATTTGCCTAAGATAACACAGCATGGGAGAAACGTGAGGTTGAGGAAACAGCCCTTCCCCGTGGGTCTGGCAGACCCTGAGTATGTTCACACACAGCAGAAATCTGTGAGTGCCCCATCAGGCCACTGTCCACCAGGGTGGGTTCTAGAATAGAGCAACTCCATTTCCCCATCCATAAAATGGATGTGTGAGTGAAGCAGAAAGAGACTGGCTTTGCTACTGGTCAGCTTTGTGGACCTGAGCAGACCCCTGAGTCTGCTTCTTCCTCTGTAGAACAGCAAGATCATGACTAGGGCTGTGATGAGCATTGCATGAGATGTGATGCTCAGAAGCACTGAGCAGGTGCCTCAAAGTCCCAGACCCACTTTCCCCTGCCCCTTTCAAGGTCACCAGCTTACTTGGAGGAGAGATGAAGCAGTGCCTGTGAAATCACTTGTGAAAGAAGGTGCCCCAGATGCTAATTTCACAGTTACTAGACTCCCTGCTCTCTGGCGGATGCCTTCCCAGCTTTACCATTCTAGAATTCTGTGGTTCGAAATCATCACCCTGCAGTCTCAGCCTTACAGGAAGGCCTGCTGGAGCAGCAGATGGGCAGGAGGGAGAGGGGACAGGAGTGCCTCCCTCCCTACCCCCCAAGCCCAGTCAGGAGTCTGCTCTTGTACCCACCCCCTACCTGGTCCTTTCACTGGTACTGGCAAGACCCTCTCTCCCCACAGGAAACTGTCGCTCCCCACTTTCTCCTGTCACTCCCAAACACAGCAAGATCTGACAAAGCCTTAGGACCTCCCCAGGGCTTGGCGAAGCTCCTTCTTGCTTCCCAGGAAGGTACGCCAGCCAAGCTGCTCCAGACTGCAACAAGATTGGCTCAGCCCTGCAGCAGCTGACTCCAAGCAGCCTGGCCCTGCTTCTCTGCTCACCCACGTGGCTCATGCCCTGAACACAGCACACCTGCATGGGGGCGCCAATGCCCCATTTCTCCTGCCCAGCTGCTCATACAGGCTGGCCCTTCCCATTTCCCTTCTGCTCATCAGCTGAGCCCATTTGGCCTCTACAGTCTGTATTGTGAGACCCACTTGGTGGTAAGGTGGGGCAGGGACCAGAGGTTTTACTCCAATTACAGACCTGGTAGGTGAGCCTTAGACTTATTCATGGGAGGGGTAAGGATCCCTGTAAAGCATTTGTCCTCATGGCCTGTTCAGCCCTGGCTTGTCAACTGCAGCATCCTAAGAAAGCATTCCCAAAAGACAGACCCTTATGAGAGACTGGGCTACCAGATTCCCAAATTACTTCCATGGGTAGAGCAGGCCTGCTGCAGGTCCAGGCTGTGGGCAGATCTCACATTTTACTCCTCTAGTGAGGACATATTAGCACCCACTGTGCCCCATCCAGAGCACCTACTGGCAAGACAGCCTCCTCCTGACCACATGCCAGTCCTAGACTATAAGCACCCACTGATCAGCTACAAGTCCTAAAAATGTGCTGCAGGTCACTGTGCCACAAACTTTGATGGAAGACCCTGTGCCTTCTCCAACTCCTGGCTAACTCCTACTTTCTATTTTCCTGTCTGATGTGGGTGTCCCTCTTCTGTGCTGTGCCTCATCTGTTCACACATGACACTCATTCATTCCATCATTCCAACCCCAACCAGGCCATTTCATATGCTGTCAACTGCAGGCCTACTTCAGCCAAGCCCTACACTCAATGCCAAGGACACTTAAGTACACCAAGCAAGGTCATTGCCCCCAGGGGCCCACTGTCTGGTGAGGGTGTCTAACAAAGCCACCAAGACCTCTGGGGCACCAAATAAATGTTGCCCTGGAGTTGGATTCTGTAGTTCTATCCTCTGCCCCATAGCTTTCCTGGTCATACCAGGCCAGCTTCACATGGGCAGCTAACCCAGGCTTAAATTCTAGCAAGGTGACTTCTGTAAGCCTCAGTTTTCTCCTCCGGAAAGCAGGGACAGTACATGCCTTTCCAGGTTACTGTGAAGGCTATACAAAATCATGGACAAATAAATAAAAGCAAAAACAAAATCCTGAACATAAGCTCTCTGGCACCAAATATATGCTGGCTTCCACACTTCTTCAGGACAGGGCAAGAGCCGTGTCTTATTGATCTTGGTGCCTAATGTACTTAGCATTCCACAGTGAGCACCCATGAATGAATGGAAACCCCAGGGCAAAGCAGGTGTCACTTCAGGACCATCACCTTTCTCCCCCCTCAGATGCTGCCCCTGAGCAGAGCAGCTGACACTCAGCCACAGTCAAGGAGGGCAGACCTGTTAAGAGAGATCTCCTTGCCCAGCGCGCTGGCTCAGGCACATAATCCCAGCAGCTTCGGAGGTTGAGGTTGGAAGACCTCAAGTTCAAACCCAGACTCAGCAATAGAGAGGCCCTAAGCAATTCAGTGGGACCCTGTCTCTAATAAAATATAAAAAGGGCTGGGGGTGTTGCTCAGTGGTTAAGCACCTCTGGGCTCAATCCCTGATACCGAGAGGGGAGGATATCTCCACCCTCCCCTGTAACAGAAATTGAAGGAAGACCCTCCAGGGTGGGGAAGAGCTCAGGATGGAGGTCATAAGAGGATGAAACTCAAGTATGTCATCCTGGCTAGATGGTTCTTTGGACCCCTCCTAAGATCCCAGCTCTTCCAGGGGCCCTGGAGAGGAGGGGATCTGTCTGAAGCACCTCCTGCTAGGAGCCACCTGCCCCATCAGTGCTCCAGGGAGAGGCACTGTCCACCTGACTCAGCTCTGCCCCATGGAGCAGTGCCTCCATCTCCATGGCACGCACACATGCTGGTGCTTTCTTGTACAGGAAAATGATTGGCTTTGTCTTTGTCTGGCCCAGGGACCCCACCCCTCTGTTGGGAAGGTGACAGTAGGAGGAGGGGACCTTTCCAGAATAGCACCTGCCTCCCTGACTCACAGATGCCCCCTTTTCCCTCCCAAGCTGGGGGTCTTCCCTAGTCCCCAGCAGTCTTCAAGACCCCACCTCCACCGCAGGGGCAAGTCCAGTCCATTGGCTCCAGCCTTGGGAGTTGGGAATCACAACAGATGCCTTAATCCTTCCCATTCGCAGAAGCAAAGGGCCTCTGGGACACCCCCTGTCGCCTCCCAGAACTCAGAAGGCCAACGAGTTTCCCTGGAGACCACCAGCTGGTGCCTGTCTCAGCTGTGCCTATCTGTATTGGGGGAAGGGGACTGAAGTGTCAGCGCACAGGTCTCTTATAGGCTGGAGGTGGCCCTGGTACCTGTGCATGGTGTACATGTGTGTGCGTGTCTTGGCGTGCTCCAGCGTGGGGTTTTTGTTGAGAATACGGGTCCCTGCTTGCGTGCGTGGGTCTCCGCGTTCTTTGTGCTTTTTTTCAGAGACTGTCTCGAGGTGTGTGCGTCTGTCCATGCATATGTCACCGCGCGTGGGCTCCTCGGCGCTGCAACCCTCCCCCTAGTAGCACCTCTGGCCGCGCTCGGGGGCCGCAGCCTCCTCCCGGCGGGCGCCGGTGGCCCAGCTGACCGCCCTACCTTTGGACATGAATCCTCCTTTGTCTCCGTTCCTCCGGGAGATGCTCAGGGCGCGGGGATGCAAGGCTGAGCGGGGCGCAGGCTCCCCTGGGCCGAGCGGCCCCTGCAGCCGGGCCTCGCCCCTCCGCGCTCTCGGCCCACCCGCCCGGCCCGCCGCCCCGCCGCGCCTCCCTGCGCCCCGCGCCCGCCCGGGACCTCGCCTCGGCTCGCTCGGCGCCGCGCTGCCCTGCCAGCGCGCACCGATGCCGCCGCCGCCGCCGCCGCTGCCACCCGCACCACGTGACCCGCGCGCCCGCCGGCCCCGCCGAGGGCCCCTCCCCTTCCCGCGGCGCCGGAGCCCGCACGCGCGAGCGGCCACCGGGCCGGCTGCGGGCTGCCAGGGAGGTGCGCGGGACGCCGTGTCCCCGGACTCCCGGTGCCCGGCCGCGGAAGGTGCTCGCAGCTCAGTCCGGGTTCCTCCCGCTCGATACTGCTCCCGGGCCCCTTACCCTCTAGTCTGGGGCGGGGCGGGGGGACGAAGGGGACCGGTGGCAGCTGCGGGCAACCGTGCGCGCGCGTGAGTCACGCGGTGGTTGGGATATTGCGCTGGCTCACCGCGGTTCTGCCCAGGCGCGGGCGCCCTGAGAACCCTGAGTCAGGGACCCAGATTCCAGGCCCAGCTCCCGGATGATCAGCCCTATAACTTGGGCTAGTCGGAAACTTCCCTGAGCCTCAGTTTACCCACCAGAAAAATCTTTCATGCATTCGGTCAAAATTAACGCACAATATATTACCAGACTCCTAGGGAAAGGGGGCTGAGGATGACCGTCCTTGCCCTGAAAGGTTCTAGATCTAGTGAAGGAAACAAAGCSGGAAGGAGTTTGCACAGGGTGGACCCAGGTGGGCACCCAGGGGAGAGGGGTGTTGTGGAAGACTTCTTGGAGGAGGTGAAGCCGAGATGGAAAAGGAAATGGAAGGGGTAGAGAAACATGGAAGGGCATTTTGTACAGAGAGGGCAGTAGTGGTGAGAAAGCACAGAGGTGAGAGCTGCGGGACCCCAGAGCTCTGGGCTAGGCTGAAGCAGACGAGAGTGCAGATAGGATGTCCACCTAAGGCTGGAGGAGTCTGCAGCCTTGGAACCAGGCTAAGGAACTGAAGGGAAGGCAATGGTGAGACACTGGGGAACATTAAACATGAATCCCTGTGGCAGCTGTGTGGCAAGGAGGGGGACAGAGAAGAGGCCCCACAGTAGCAGAGGGATGGAGGAGACAGACAGGGGAATGGTCAGGTGCTATTATGGTTTGAATATGAGTTATGCCCCAAAAGCTCCTGCTTTAATGCAGGAATGTTAGGATGTGAAATGATTAGGAGAGCTGCAACCTGATCAGCCCATCCTAGTACAAACGACTGACCAGGTGGTAACTGTAGGCAGGTGGGGCGTGGCTGGAAAAGGAGGGTCACTGGAGGATGCCCTGCAAAGGTCCATCTTCTCTGTGGCCTCCTGCCCCCTCCCTCCCTCCCTCCCTCTCCCTCCCACTCTGAGTGGAGCAGCTTCCCTGGGCTATGCCCTCCACCATGATGTTCTGCTTCTCCTTGGGCCCAGAGCAATGAACTTGGCTGACCATGGACTAAAGCTCCGAAACMATGAGCCCCAAGAAACTTTTTCTCCTCTTAAGTTGTTCTTTTCAGGTATTTTGGTCACAGTGATGCAAAGCTAACTAATTAGCACTGAAAAGGTAAAGCAATAAGATGGGAAATAGACTGGATTGGATGTAGGAGAAAGAAAGATGAGGAAAAGGAGGACACCCAGGTTTCTCATGAGGGGATAAAAGGCTGGTGTGTCTTTGGCTGAGAGAGAGCTCAGGGAGGGCAGGAGTCCGTTCAAGAAAAGTGCTGCCTCTGGACATGCCCAGGAGATGTCCTGGTAGAGAAGTTGAACAGGCCTCTGGCTGACTATGAAGGGACAGTTGAAGTCACACAGAGAAGAATAAATACCAGAACTTGGGGAGGTCCCCAGAAAGATTGTGCAGGGTGAAATGAGAAGGGGGCTGACAAGCCACAGAACCAATTCAGGARCTGGACTGGATGTTTTCAAGCCTTTTTCCTGACCCAGAATCTCTTGAGCCTTTGAAATGTAGGGAATTCGACTGTCGGAAGTAGAATCCTAATGGTCTAGGTTTCATTCAGCTTACTAATAAACTGGGAGGTAGACTCAGCAATGAGCACTTGCCTAGCACGCAGGAGGCCTCAGGTTCAAACCCCAGCACCAAAAAAKAAAGGAAAACCCTACCAACCAGCCTACTGCCACAACTAATCCACTTTGGTGAGACTTTAACATGCCACAAACTCTCTGAGGGAACTTCCAGTCCTTGTGTTGACTTCCACACGTCTCCAGTGAGGCTGGGGATATAGCTAGTATGCATGAGAACCTAGCATGATCTCCAACTTATCTTTCAAGACTAAAGGGCTGAGGGTAGGGGTGCCAAGAAAGAGAATCTCAGGCAAAGCAATTTTTTAACAACAGATATCTTCCTAAAAGGCAGAGTGTGAATAGATTTAGAAGATCTTGGGAAAGGTCATTATCTCACATGCAGGAAAGCCTGGCTTGGTTGTTCCTGTGGTAGATAAGTCTTCGGCTATGTCCAACTTGGTATCCAGAGCAGGAAACTACTATGGAAATCGTGGGTTACTGAAGTGCTAGCCTGTATTTCCATGCAGTGGTTTGCTTTTAAAACTAGACTTGGGGGGCTGGGGTTGTGGCTTAGCGGTAGAGCACTAACCTCTCACGTGTGAGACCCTGGGTTCAATCCTCAGCACCACATAAAAATAATAAACAAAATAATAATTTAAACAAAATAGAGATATTAAAAAAAAAACTAGACTTGGCTATTGATGGCCTGAATGTTCTAGCTCTTTGGAGAACAAAGAAATAACCATGGAGATGCTCACTGAAGGACTCAGCCTCATGGCTCCTCCACAAGTTACCTGCAAGCCTTCCTTCTGATGGCTTGCCTCAACCTGACCTCTGGCAGGCTAAATTCAAGTCAAGGTACACYTCCTGTCGTCAGCTCCTTGATCCCTGTTCCTTTCTGGCTGATTTATTCAATTCCAACTCTAGAATCCTCCCTCCCTTTCCTAACCTATCCAAGCATGATATTCAACCCATCCCAGACTCATATACCTCTCACCCCCTCCAGCACCACCCAACAGAATACCTGCACTTACCTTGGAATTCTCTGGCCAGATCCAGTGTGACAGGCTTGGTGGCTTGGTCTGTGGCAGTCTCCATTGTGGGGTGGTTCTGGGCTGCTTCGATGCTAGGCATTAGTGGGTAGGTAGCAATGTCCAGCTCACCAGTGGCTGGGTCTGTGGCTGTTCCCAGACTGCTTGTGTCCAAAKTAGGAGAATCCATAGTTGTACCCAGCTTGGTTTTATTTGCTCTAACCAAAGCCATGGTTGTGTCTGGCCAGGCTGTGCCCAGCTTGACTGGATCTGGTATTGTCAAAACCATGGCTGGGTCCCCTGAAGTCTTATCTGRTTTGGCTTTGTCTGCTATAACCATGACTCTGCCCAGCTTCTCTGGATCTGTAGTTATCAAATCCGTGTCCTTGCCTGGCTTGGTTGTACCTGTGGTAGATAAGTCTGTGGCTATGTCCAACTTGGTATCCATAGCAGGAAACTCTGTGCCTGTGTCCCATCTGGATGTGTTTGTTGTAGCCAAAGTAGTAGCCAAGCTAGATCTGTTGGTGGCCATAGTGGCTAAATGTCTGGCTGTATCTGGCCTTGTTGTGCCCACAACAGCCAAATTCATAGCAGGGGTGGCCCTTTGGAGTAGCCGGGGTCTGGGAATACCCCTGGRCCGGGACTTACCTCTTCCTGCAGAGGCTCTGATGTGCCCTTGGCCCACCAGCCCTGGCCCCGAAAAACTTGATGAACTCTGGGTTAGCCGAGATTGGAAAGGTAAGGCCAGGTACGAACTCATAAGGGGCTTCTCCACTGTGGGCATCCTGCTGGGTTTGAGCAGACCTGGGTTCCCTGGACCCTCAGAGTGGACTCTGCCTTCTGGCACTATAGTCCTGGRTGCTGAGCTTTGAGCAGACAGCCTCCCTCCTCCATGAGTGGCAGCCTCCCTGCCCAGGGTATGCAACTCTTCCCAGTGGGAAAGAGACCTTGACTGGCTCTTGTGATGGATTGTTAGGGAGATGGAGCTCAGCTTTCTGGGCACGAGGCTGTTGGCAGGCAGAGGGCTCAGGACAGCCCCTGGGGCAATGCCAGTRTCCTGCTGAGGCACACTTAAAGTCCTGGCTCTAAGGCCCAGTCTGCTGGAGGTCTGTGAGACATGGCTTTTGGGAAAGGCATCCAGATGGACAGTCTTTCTGACGACAGGGATGAGGGGGGATACCCCTCCAGGAAGCCTTGAGGGGTGAGAATGGCGCCCCAGCATGTTGCTGCGGGAAAAGGAGGTTCCAGAGCCTGAGGCTCCATGTGGTTGCATCTCTGGAGGAGCAGGTGCAAAGTTGTCCATCGGCTTCCCCTGGGACAGTCCTGGAGTGAAGGTCCGGCGGGGTGAAGTGCTCAGGCTTGGAGGTTTCATCCCTCCTCATCCTGACCAGCAGCTGGCACTGCCCTCGGAAGGGCCCTCATCTGGGRGACTCCTTAGTGGAGTGCACACATTTCTTCCTACCTTCCTACAGCTCCCACCCGCCATAGTCCTTCACATACCCACACAACACCCAGCCAGTCACCACACGGGACAGCCCATGCACACTGCCCCTGCATGAGAGAACGCAGGGTCGGGGATTCCTCTCCCTCTGCTTGAGCCTGGGTGTGGCCCCCTCTCTGTGGACAGCTCCATGGAGGTCACATGCATGTTCAGGGACCCTTAGAGGAGGGCAGTGGCTTCTGAGGTCCTATCTGCCTCTTTCTTCCAGAAGGAGCCAAAGGGCTCCGGGTTCCTACCCCCAGCCGCCAAAATAAGAGTTCAGGCATCCAGGCCAGAGGTCCAAGGAGGACCAGTTGGCTTGAGAACAGGGTCTCCATCTGGGGCTTCTGCCCCCAACCAGGAAAGAGCCCTGGGTTGTCCTGGTGTGGAACTAGAGGGGCCCTAGAGAAGGCAGGGCTTGGGAAGCAGAGAGGTGATGAGTATTCACAGGAGACATGTCTG